AGGAAAACATTGTAAAATGGACTTCATACCTTATGGTATAGTTATTCTATGCCAAGTAGATCACAAATGCCTGTAAGCAGCACCGTCTGGGTGCAAATACTCTGCCTCGTGCCACGCAGGGAAACCAGTGATCAAGAAAAGCATGGTGTGTATCACAGCCAATCATACCAGAAGGGGGAGGCTGGGTGAAAACTGGGTGTTTATTTTAAACAGCTCCCAAACAGGACAAAACATGAAGCAGAATTCCAAAATACTAATATTTTTGGTAAACAAACAACAGCTCCATCCTGCAAAGTTTAGACTCAAAAGATCTGATTCCCAGAAGTAATCCTCACTGCCGCCCCTCAAGTTTTTGTTTGGCTGTTCATGTAAAAACAGGCACAGAAGTGTTTTGCAGGATCATAACTTAAACACTATGAAGCAGTAGAGTAACACCACAGAGACATTACAACAGCAGGATGCTTTTTCCCCATTGTGATTACTTCAAAGCTGCCCTTTTTATTAGTAGGGTAGTGCATCATTTTGATTCATTCTTTCTTGAAAAAAAAAAAAAAGTAAAAGCATGTTTTGAAAAAAAAATTTCTTTTTTTACAGGCAACTATAAAAATTGATTTTGCTCTTGTTAGAGAGTCTTTTACCCTCCCTAGTTGCAGCTTTCAACTGTGGATAAACCAAAACCAGGAGGCACATTCTGTAATCTAACCCAGATTGCAAAGGGAATTACTGGGTACACCATACTTCTGGGCTGGAGAGCAGGAGATGCACAGCGTGATGATCTGAAATCAAGCTGTCATCAGTTTCCTTCCTAAAACCTTTTACTGGGTAAATCGGAGTATTTCCCTCATTCCCACTTCTTAGCTGTATCTTGTTGTATCACATCCACATACAGCCATCCTTGACCATTTTCTTTATGTTCCTGAGAGAACCAGGGCTGTCAGGAGATGGTTTACACCACCCCTTGAAAGATCAGCAGCTCTCCCTTCCACAGCATAGCTCACTTTAGATACACAGAGCTCTGATTTTACAGTTAGATCACAGAGAGCAATTGAGAGATTTCTGTTATTTCTGTGGAACTGACTCAGAAGCATCGGATGCTGAGCATGATGGGCTGGCAGCCTGCAGTATTCAGTGGGAGAACTCCAAAATGCTCAAGTGGACATTAAGGCACTTGCTGACACCGTATAGGTCAGAAGGAGCAGCACAGCTCATGTGTTTGAAATCAGACTCTAGCCCAAAATGTTACTTTCCCTAACTTCTCCTGAAAATACCTTCACAGGGGAAAACAAAAGCAAACAAACAAACAGACAAAAGGCAAAAACAAAAAAACCCACCCCAAAACCCCCAGTGCTGTCGTTTTTGGAAAAATCCAACATCATCCATCAAATCACCACGCTCAGTAAATGAACCCTCTTCTGCCCATGGATACCTCCTACTTACTCCCATGACTCAAGTCACCCGTATGCTGAAGGAACCACAAGGTAACACCCTGAACAGAAAATGCATTAAATAAAAAACAGCAACAAAATGTAAAACACAATTTTTTTTTCCTCAGTAGTGAAAAGTGGAAATTGATCAGTCAGGAAAGATGAATTAGCATCTTTATCCCAGAGCCCACCTATACTTTCTCCAAGAAGTCCCAAGTGAATGAAAATTACTCTTTTCTTCTTACCCTCTCTACACCCCTGCCTTCCGCAGCACCCGCAAGAGAAAGCATGAAAAGAGGAGTAAGTAGCTCAAAGTGAAAAAGGAAAAAAAAAAAAAAAAAGAAAAGTGCTTAAAAAACCTGTCGTGTTGCAAATTACACAGTCCCTGGGATGGCTCTGCCACTGATGTGTTTTAATGCTG